ATACTTGATTTTTCTATGATGAATAAAGTAATCAGTACTTGCATGTTAAATTAAAATTGGCTGCGTAATTTTCATGAGGGGCTATTTGTTTGGGCAGTGAAACGACTTAAAGATTAATTAATAGACTGCAGAATTTATGCATCTATAGCATGCCCTGTCTGGAATTCAGTATATTAAGAAGTTCAGTAAATTTTAGTACGGTTTTTACTTTATGTGGGGCTTGATAGAATCTTCGAAGCAGTACAGAAATTTTTGTTTACTTCGAGTTTGTGTAAATAAATTTTTAAAAACTGATACTTGCATAAATACCCGCAGTCTATTAAATAGTGTAGCTTATTCCATGGGAATAATGCAACTCGAATAGGAAATCGAAGTTATAAAGATGGAATTATTAAAAACCAATAATATTATGCTCAATGGTGTTATTTGCATGTCACAGTACCGCACAGAAAGCGTCAATCACTTCATTCATTTAATCAGAAACTTGATTGCGACTTTGTTACTAGATTCTCCCGTCGCGAGGTATTAAACAGGCAAGTTACTTTGCAATTCAGAACGGTCTAGCGTGTAATCCTGCATGCATAACGAATAAGAGGGAAAAATTCGAACAGGTAAATTGATTTCTTCACGTTCCATTCGATCGCTCCTTTCGACCGCCTTGGTATACAAATTGAAAGTCCGTGAAACTGATAATTATACTTTCCACAATTACTCTTATTATATAAGAACAAAAGTAAACATTATAAAATACTACTCACAACTGTCATTAAGAATTGGAGCGTTAAAATACCTTCTCAGTTATTTATTTTTTAATACCTTACTACACATTTTGTACCAACGAGGATAATCAATACTATGACGATCGGTTAATTTCGCGAATAAATTTCACCACTCGCCGACTGTTTTTATCAGGAATTAACAAAATTTAGTTCTCGTATACATATAGGTACATCAAAACATTCGAAAACGTTTAATATCTGAACAGAACCAGAAGACACTCACATGATGTCATAACGTTAATGTAACAATGAACACGTGCTTCCATTTCCGAAAAACACAAGAATATTATAAAAAAAATATAGACCGAAATAATATTGCAAAGAAATACATACTATAAAGAAAATCTTCTATACGGAAAAGTCAGAAAAATAGTGCCCTATCGTAATTTTCTTCTCAACTATTTTCATTTCGCAAAGAAAATACAATTTCTCCCAGACCCATAAAGTTACATAAACGGTAGAATGTATAGATGTTTCACGGAATTATAATTTCGACGATCGCCTAATTTGCAATATGCCTAATTATTAATACGTGACATCGATACATGAGATAATTAGGCAGGGTAAAAATGCCGGAGCCGATCACAACTCGCGGGATGGCCTAACGAGCAAACAACAAAATGGTCGCACGGGAGGGTTGAAGGTCCTCCCCCACGTTAATGCTGTCGATTGACCCAAAAAGCTTCGGGACGATTGACGCGAGCCCCACCGCGTTCGCGGGAAGTTCCGCTGATGGCTTTTCACTCCGGACGGCTCGTTTCTGTACTTAATGGCCAGTCAGTTCGAACGAAAGCGGCCGGCTTAATAGCCATTGTTTGAAGCGGCGGGAAGTGAATAATTATCGGTTGCATGCCACCCAAACGCCGTGCCCAAATGGTAACCTTCAATACCCCGAGGGATCCGCCGATTTTCGGCAATGCTAAATGGAGTGGGTTCTTCCACCCCCTATCTAGCTTTCACTGGTCGCTTTCGAGCAGAAATTCAACGGGGACCAGCTGCCCCGAGTGTTTCATTCGACGTTTAATAGGAACCTACTTCCATTGAGACTTAGCGTGAAATTTCTTGTAAATTGATTTGCAACATGCATGTTCATTTCGTATAATATAAATTTATCGAAGTAATGGATTACACTTACGGTGTCCCATATCACATCGGTTTATAAAGCGTTCGACTGAAAGAATAATACAAACAGGCAAGAAGTTGCTTTACATGAAAAAAATAAGTCGAAAATGTGGAATAAAATTTTGTCGGGTGATGTTTAGGATATGAGATAATCGAATTTGGAACTCTGCACGATACCTGTGGAATTGAATAAGACTGGACTAATGTGTCTGTTCGTTACATTCCGTTTCTACTTACTGCCATAAGGAATTTTCAAATACGATTTTCACGAGAACCAAGCCTCGCATGAACAAAATTTTATTCTACATATTTGATTTATTTTTTCATTTTATTTTTCATAGTAAATTTATTTCAACCTTGCATGTTGAATTCATATAATACACAGTAAGTAAAAGAAGTATTTGCAAACATCTATAGATTTTAAAAATAATTTCACAGAAAACAAGATACCTAAAAAATTGCAATTACTCTTACATTCAACCCCCCTTTGCTACACTATCATCCAACAAACAGGTAAATAAAAATTAAACACAAACACAATATTCAATCCCTATCCGTACCGCGCAAACAGTTCATAAAAACATCCAACGAGAAACAGGAAGTCAATAATTAATACTACAAAAGTAAACCAAAGCCACAACAAAACTCAAGATTTCACGTACAACTTTCGAATCCCATTAAACTCCGGACAAACATCCGGGCGTCGTCCCGTAAGAGCAGCCGGAACCACCAAATGACCAAAACAATGCAGCCTAAATAAAAAAACCGTACCGTTTTCGCCTCCCACCCTGAACAAAAAACTGATCGTCCCTGGTGAACAAGGGTGGGGAGGGGAGCGAAACGTCAAGAGAGACAAAAAGAATGAACAAGAACAAAAATAAAAAAATACACTCCAACGGAGAAGAAAGAGCCGCAGCAAAAGCCGTTTGGAAGGGGCAATTTCGTAATCTCAGTCCCGGGTCGCCGTGGAGCGTGAAAATTTCAAAAACGTCCCCGGGTATCTAGCCCACGGGCCACTAACGACTCCCCGGACGGTATCGCCCGGCATCTAGACCGGTGCATTTTCGCGGAAAATTCCCGAATAATGATACCGGCCCGGTCTTTAACGACCGCCACACGTTTGTTCGACCAAGAATTCCGTCCGGGCATCGGGCCGTACAATGCGCGGTAACGAGCAGGAGTGTCCGTTGCTTGTACCACGAAGTTATTTCATTGTGCTCGAGAAACCGAGAAGCCTTCGTTTCTCCACGCCCCCCGCCCCTTAGATCCCGATCGTCTTTCTTCTAAACCGGGTTGAGAACTCATCCGGATTCAGCCGCGGACATTTTTAATGACACTCGAACATCGTTTCCAGCCGCGAGCAGCGTTGCCGGGAGATATCCCTACTGCGCACAGTGGTCCAGAATCAAAATATAGCAGCTGAAATGGTTAAAACCAAATTTCTCAGCGAAATATTTTCAGCAGAAACCAAATCACGTAAGAAAAAACAGCTCGATAATATTACTATGAGCTAAAGTGTAACGGCGTGTCCCCAACACAAATATACTCACACAATTTTTTTATTCAAGATAAAATTAACAGTTGCTATCATGACAGCCACGGAGATACATTGTTTTAGCGGCTATCAGAAAATTGTCATTTTTAATATTTAGGTACTATATATTTACATCAAAGAAATTTGACGTATTCCTGTGATTATATGAATAAATGTAAAACAGTTTAAATTCGATGTACCATATAGTTTTTTCTACAAAAGTCACTGAATTATACCTAATCTTTGAGCCGTCACAATAGGGAAACCTCTTAATACTCTTTCAATATCTTTTGGATTAAATTTGCTATTTTTTTATTGGATAAAATTACACGAGACTCTCAGAATATAGACGTGCATCTATATAGTAATCAGGATAGGTAAATTGGCTGGAAAAATAATTAAAATTATAATTTTCTTTGTTATCATTTCTACTATTATTATTTTATCACGCTGGCACAGCGTATTTGGCTAGAATCAAAGTAGAATGGGAAGATTCTTTTTTGCGGTTATTTTCGTCCTGGCATTAAAAGCACGCGTATGATGTATTATGTGACGATGAATATTTTTCCGAGCGAACGCTTTCATAAGAGATCAGAGAATGCACAACATTCGTCGAAAACAAATGTTCCGATCCATTGATCATCCGAGAAAAATATTCACATTTGACCTGGATTTTTTCAGTGATTACGAGCGGGGTGGGTTATCCCTTCTGGCTGAAAGATATCAATTCCGCTTTTTGAAAGCATTATATCGCGGAATGAATAGAAATATTCAAATGTGACATGTTCTCGACGCATCAGAAAATTTCAATGAAAAATATATTTCATCGTAACAATTACAAATATTTACTTCCAAATCAAATAAGGTATTACTTCGAAGCAATATTTTTAAAACAAAACATTAATATTCTTTATTTAACGTTCCCTTTTTAAATTCCTTTGCTGAAAAAGATATTGATACTTCAATATCAGGAATGCAGAAAACATGACCTGTTTTATTGATTTCAGTTTAAGTTGCAATGATATTATTTCGTTGCCCCCATAAAGACTTCCGATTTCACAAATAGAAACTTGATGCCACTTATTTATTGACATTAGGCCTCAAATAACTGATTTCACCAACTAAAATTTTAAATTATTAGGAACATTCAGGAAATAAATACATTGTTCAACCTTTAACTCGCGAGGTGGGGTCTGAAGAACCTTATCAATATTTTTTAAATATTTTATTTCTATTAGGTAGCTATTTTTACTCAAAGAATTGCTTCTTTATTTCGATGTTTTCTTATACGAGAACGGAAAAATCTGGATATACATTGCGCAATTAATAAATCACAACATTTTTACCAGTTTTTCTTTATATGTGCCATATGTTTTAGCTTAAAATATTTATTTATCGTCAGTCCTATATTTATGGAATATTTTATTTTTATTCAATAGTCACTTAAACAGATGCTTGTTCATTTTGATGTTTTCTTCCGTGAGAATGCAAAACAACTAATTGTGTAATAGTAATAAAATTTCCACCTCACCAGTTAATTGAACACGAAAAATATCGAGACTCACCACACGTGTAGACCACTCTCAAATAGGCTCTGCTCTCCGGGCTGCAGGGTTCGCCAAACGTCGAACTGTTTGCCACCACCGTGCAACGACGTTTTCCATGGCACAGATTCATCAGGGTCTCCGTCGCATATGACGCCATGCACGCTGTAACCGAGCAAAATTGATCTATTCATTGTGCGTTCCGTACTCGATGTGCTCCGTTAAAAATAGTTTTTCGACACGCTATGAATCGCGGGGATCGTTTGTCAAATGAGAATCGAATGCCGGTTTAGCGGGTGACTGAGACTACTTTACAACGAGTACTGAAAATGTCAGGCTTCATGAAGTTACGACTAATCATTCAACAATCGACGTGAATTCTGCATTGAACAGGCGTACATCGATGACACGAGTGCATTCGTTTCCCTTTGATTTCAATGAACTTTTCAGAGCTTCACTGTACAAACAGTAATTATTACACAGTGTAACTAATACAAAGTGTTCCACTGTAATAAATTTCTGTAAGACAATAATGTGAATTTCAGATTCAATTTTCTTTACCTTTTTTTATAAATCTTCCAGTATCACCTTCCTCTGGCAATTAAGAATTATATTTCAAGATTATAGCTACAATTTTTCTCGTTCAAACGTTCACACGAAACAAAATAGATAGTTAAAGTAAATTAAAAATTAAAATTAAATTTCTGCTTTCAATTGTTAATACTACTTTTGATATAGTAATACATTAAGAATTATTTATATCCAATTGTACTGTAAGAGGAAAGCTTTCTATTACAGCAACGACGGGCAAACTGCGGCACGCGAGCCACATGCGACTCCCAAGATAATATTAGTTTTATTACAATTTTCCCATAACTTTTATATTAAGAATCTATAGTAAAAAATATAAATATAATTTTCAAATTATATTTTCTGTGGCTCTTGATCATTCAAAAATGTATTAAAAATGTTCTATATGGCCGTTATTAACACAGAACTAGCCCACCCCTGTGTTAAAGTATGAATGTTTGAAAATAACTTTTAACTCAGTTTTACACTAAAAATAAAGGAAAAAAAGGTATATGAACGCTATTATCTATCACTTTCTATGAAAAAAATGCAGAAACTTTCTTCATATTGACAATCGAAACAATTTTCTCGTTTTAAATTAATTTAGTCTAACATATATAACTCTGGAATTCCAGATTTTTAACCCTATGAACTTAACTTCCGAGCGCATTATTTAACGTCGTAAAAGCGCATACTTTTTATCAGCCTCGATAAATTCAACTGTACTTCCGCTAACTTTCACTCTGTGAACCCTCCAGAATCACGAAATGTGTCAGATACAGAAACCACTTACACGCGCTGCCTTTCCGGCGCGTTCCTTTGTGCGAACGACGAGCAGAATCGGGCGATGTGTCGCACGACGAACGGACACGGGGACTGAAACGATATCGCTGACGACAATATCAAGGACCATTCGAGCAAAGACTATTCTCTATTCCTCATTGTCACGTCGAAGCGATGGAATTGAGGGACACGTGGAAGTCTATGGATTGGTTAGGGTGGTCAGTCGACCGTGCGAGGGCGTGAATCCTTGCGAAGGATATTTTACTACGAAAAATTCGCGACCGATACCTGTACATCATAGACAATTTGTATGGACGATCCCTTTGATTTGTGGCAAAATTAATGTAAAACTACATACTGAATCAAGCAAGTAAGAAAAAGAAAATTAATTTCGAAAAAAATTATAAAAGAAATATTTTGAATATATTCAGAATAATACATATACTTTATTACAGACATAAAATGTTATATGAAACGGTGATTAAATGCATAAGTAGCATTCTACGCGGAAATTTTGTCAGAATGGTTTCATTAATCTTCAAGTGCGTCTACAAGGATGTGTTTATAATCGAAAAATAACGCAAATAGCAGCTAAAATTTTCCATAATATTTTACAGGAATTTATTTTATGTATCCGATATTTCGAAGAGTAATCTTTTAAGTGTCGTTAAAATATAATATGAAATGCGGTAGTTTACCAAAATTGAAAGGCTTAAGGAACCAGCGCGAAACTCATATTAAACCAAACTTTTCGAGATTTATAAGCAAACACCGTATCGTGTATTATATGCGCACTTTCGTTAACAGCACGCCCATGAATGTTTATGCTTGCGTAAACATTTAATGACCCAACTAACTTCCTAATATCTTTTAGGCGATTACTTTCCTCGAAAGCTTCACGGTCTGAGAACAACACTTAAGGGAATTATTAAGAGATTGATGAAGGGAATCACGAAATTGGAATTAGAAGGATTAATCGTCGATATTTAAATAAGTTATAAATATATACTTCACTATTTAGTTTGAAATTTTTAAATCAAAAATTTGTAAATATAATTCGTAATCGAGGAAATATTTAACTCCGAAATCAATACTATTTAAGCTATAGGGAACTGAATTTTACTTAATATATAATAAAGATTCAGAGTAAGCTAATGACATTCAGACACATCGTTTCGTTATTTAAAAAAATAAGTTCACCTGTTCCTTCATTACAGCCGCGGCGTATCAGAAAGCGATTATCTGTTGAAGTATTTCAAATACTCTTCCGTACCTTATGAAGAATTATCCATCGAAATGTTATAAATATTCTTGCAATGTTCATGAAAAATATAACAATATCGTTTTGCGGAACACACCTTTAGAATAGTGTTTATTGTTTTAATTCTAACACGTGTAGTATGTACCAGTCATCTTCATTAATAAGCTCTCTACAGTTTAGATTTCTTTGACAAAACTTACTAAATAGTGAAGAACCTCTTTAAGAAAATATCATTTTAATAACACAACACGTTAATGATATATTTATATATGTTAACACTAACCGTACCGAGATTTTTATATACCTATTTGTACCCTATTTAAAACCGGTCATTTGACCGACGATCGGTACGGTTAGTGTTAAAGACAAAGTTAAGAAGCACAGTTTCTTTACTTAAAAGATTACTCTTCAAAATATTGAATACATAAAATAACTTCCCATAAAATATTATGGAAAATTTAAGCCGCTATTTTCGTAATTTTTCGATTGTAAACACCCTTGTAGATGCAAAGTAATTTAAAAAAATCTTGCAATTACAAAGAAAACATATTAAAATTATTGCACTATTGGTGAAGACATGTTAAAGTTGTCAAGTTACTAAAACGTTAAAATTTACTCACTTTCTTCCTTCACTCCGCGTGGCTGTGGACACTGGAGTGACTCGTGTTCCGTTCTGCCGAACGACGCGCTGAAAATGACAACCCTTTGTCCGGGATAGCAGTCAAGATTGATGACATCAGTCTCGCAAGCAACCTTACTCCTGAACTCATCTGGAACAAGGAAAAAGATTTTTAATAAATTTCACCGTTCCCTGTCTACTTTCACTGTCGCATAGAATTTAATTATATCTTCGAGTTTCAACTTTAACCATCCGGCTCCATTACCAGTGCCAGTTTGTCAAAGGGATACGTTCGCTGTCGATCGAGAATTCTAGACGTTCTTGGATAATTCAGTCTAATGAATTTAATCGTGAGAAATGGAAGAATAACGTAAGATATTCATCTTAATGAAAATCGTTACATAATTTTTATGTTATATTTTATCAATAGATATGTAAGTCTATGTAAATGACAGTTGAAAGAAGTTTGAAAATTTCTTATACATAGATTTCCTTTTTGTTGACTAGATATATGTTTTAATAAAATATTATGGATTAATAAAAATTGCGGAAAGAGGACACTTTTTTTTTTTACAAATTTTTTTATTTTTGAGAATTATACAGCTTATGAGTGAAACACGAATTGTGTGTATTTATAACACGTGATGGTAGAAAACAATAAAATTCAAACTCCAATTGCGCTTTTAGTTTCGCAATCAATTTGTTTACTTTATAATATTTCAATCGCAATAACATTTTTAAGGTAGAAGTAAGAATTCTGTTTCACTCATGATTTCAAAGTGAATTTGTGAGTCATGTTTGACTTTTTTTGGAGATGCATGTGTTTATATCAAAATTAGCTGAGACTTTATAAAACTAGAGCGTGAAAACCGAATTCACGGATTCGTGTTTTGTAGAGAAATAATAGAAATATGTATGAGGTCAACAGCATGCTCAAGGTTTTATTGGAATGAATGCTCGACGATTTCAAAAGACCTTTCATAGATACGAATGAATTTTACGAGGCAATAAGTTCTTGTAACGCAAACCCACCATATTTCGTAACATGTTATAAAATCTGTAATGATTTTGAACATGTATAACACTTCTTAACATTTACTCTATAGACATTTGGTCTTAACACATTAAATGCGCAGCTAATTTCATTTTACTTTCCATTTAGGCGAATACATACATAGTTATAAATTGTATCAAGAAAATCATAACTTTTTGTAATGCTTCTGAAGGAAACATCTCATTCTTTAAAAAAATGATTCAATAAAATTAATTAAACAAGTGTAAATATATTTTTTAATATTACATGAATTATAAAGTATTATTTTTAAAATTTGATATTGTCAATCCCCAGGGACCGACGCCGCTTGAACAGAAATTTTAGTATCAGTCCCCAGGGATCGGCATAGCGTTTAACGTGATAATTCATTAAACTATTAGCACAAAAAAAGCGATTGCTTTTTGGACATTGTAATGAAAGCGAAAAAAAAGATTCCACTAAAGTCGCGTGAAGATAGTGACGGTTTTTGCGAAAACGCCGTCCGTACGGTAAAACCAAAGTCGTTTCGTTGCAGTTCGTAGTATCCAGGAGTTTCGACGAACCTAACCGAATCGGGCGTCCCTTCCAGCTGCCGATAATGCGTTTTTGCGGTCGCGATCGTCCTGTTCCCGGTTCGCGATTCTTGCCGGTGCCATGGCCGCGACATTCCTCGGATTTTCACCTGTTCTTGCGCCGGGTCGACGCACGAGTTACACATCCGACTAAATTCCGCCGCGAATTACAGGGCCCGAAACGGTATCAGAAGCTCTACGGGAAGCCATTGTGCCTCAGGCTTGAATTTATCGCGCATTGTTTCACGTAAAAGTGTAGTTTGGTATGCTAACATCGTGAGTGCATTAAATTGGAGATTTTGTGTACTTGTAGTTTATGCAAATATTGAGAACACAATGAAACAGAAACACTAATGTATTACTTACGATTAGTATAGAAACTTCTATTTAATTTTTTCTTTTGTGAAATTAGGGTTAAAGTTAGAAAAATGGAAATGAGATATTTATTAAAGAGATTGATGGAAAATAGTCTGCAGTAAATTTTCACTAATGAAATATTTGCAGAATGGAATACTGAGGAAAGTTGCAGTATATATTCCAAGTTAGGGCATGAATAATTAAATTTAAACTAAAACAATATGCTAATCCACTATGATGAGCCGTGCCTTCGAAGTTACATACGCATACATTTGGATTGTTGAACTTCACTTGACTTCTGTCTAGATCCTGATACATATCGAATTGAAGGAAAACTTTTTATCCAGGAAATATTCACCTGCTTGCTTTGTTTATTTAGGTCTGTTCAGAAATGAATAAAGTTTTTCACAGGGAATTAAAATTCACCGCGTTTGATGTATCGGACAGAAATATTGATAACGACGAAGATATTAACAATTTTTGGAATTGTTCAGATGTTTTTAGAATTCACCAAAAATTGATTTTCCAAGTAAATGCAAGTATCCAATTAATATTATTAGCCAGTTACAAAAAAAAACTCTATTTTTTTGAATGTTTAATTTTAATTGACGTTGTCCAATTAGCAAGTTATGATACGCAAATCTACATTGAAACAACTGCATTGTTCTAACGAATTGATTGCTGAAAATCCTGTACACTATTGAAGAACGTCAAACAGTCGAGTAATAAGAAAGATAAATTGTATGTATAATCTGGAGAAATAGAGCCGCCATTCGGTACGGATTTCGATAAACTGTGTAATTGAATCATAAATATGATGATTATCTCGGCCGCTCGAAACGCAAAACGTTTTCCAGCATACAGAGTTTGTCAAAACTCTGCATTCGGCGCACCGATCGTTAGTTATGCATTCTGTGCGCATCTGTTGGTTAATGTGTAGAGATTGCAATAAAAGTCCATAAATTTTACACGGGAATTCGTTGCACGTTACATTAACAACATTGTCAAAATTCTGCCACATAGAATATATTTTGTATTGCTTATTAGTCCTGTTTGTTCGTTAGATTTTCCAATTATCTGTTAGATATTTGTAAAGATATCGACATATAACAGTTTGTTTCTATGCAGTCACTTGGGAAACTTTCAATCGTTTAATTAATGCCCGCCCAGCATTTAATATTAAAGAATATCTTGTTACACGCATTACAAAATTTATTATCCGAATTTAACGAATGTTATATGATTCAACGAAATCGATATGTACGATTGTAAATCTGAAATTTATTAAATCAATGGGTTATAGGTATATTACGAGCAAAAGGTGAAGCAAGGAAAAACCCTGTATGTTTATACAGAAATGTAGTTAAAGAAATACTTATACACTATTGTAACAGCATTTAACAATCTTGCTCATCAGGCTAATCATAATTTTGACTTTATATGGTAACATTACATATTATTGTAAACAGAACTCTTATTTGAAATTTATTCGTTATTCTCGAATAAATTCGTTTTATTCGCAACTTTCATTCGAAGATTATTCAAATAAAATTTTATTCGAAAAATTGATTCGAATTTTTATTCGAATAAAATTTCATTCGAATAACGCCCAACTCTGCTGTGATTACATAGTGTAGATGTAGCCTAACAATTCTCGACAAAGTTACATTCCCTATAGTTCCGTACACTTACGAACGATTTACGAGTGACACAAAAAGAATCGCGAAGAACACTGCTACCACTCCAGCGAGTCCATTCCACCGGATGCTCGATCGCCGAAAACGCAAGGTGTTGGAGGGCGGTGCGAGAAACCATTTCTCCCAGCAGTCAGGGGGATTCGGCTAATAACGTCGTTACGTCGCGTCTAGGAGAATGAATTTATCTGTTCCCGGAGGTCGCTTGCAACTCGATACGTAAGGCCGTTGTTCGCCAGCACGAGGGATGGTTTCTCTCGCGGGTCATTCTCCGCCCACGCGGCCTTTCAACTTTCAACGGGCGCCGGGACGAACACCACCTCGAACGTCGCCAAATGCACTTTACCACCACCCTCCCGAGATAAAGTGTTATGCCCTGGTTTATTGAGTCGCCGATTTACAGCAGAGGCGCCTCTTCGCGGCCCTTCGAACTTCTGGCCGCAACTACGCCCCCATGTTGGGTTTCACGAAAAATTAGGTGGCGTTGGGAGGAGGGGGGAAAACTACTCTTTCTTAGTCTCTTCCTAGGACCGTTGGACAAAGATGTTTTACGAACCTGGTTTGTCAGTGTCTCTACCGTCTGTTTGCTTGGGGAACGAAGTGTCAAAATCTCTTAATCTACTTATTAAGTAGTAATAGAAATTTATATGCCGACTAATTCGACTATCATAAACGTGAAATCAGAATTAACACCAAAATTACAAAAAATCTAAAAAATTCAGCAAATGCATCGAATGCAATTACACCCCACATAGGCTAATGAACGAAGTGAATTAACTTGTACATAAAAATGTCACGTGACACACAAGTGTTTCCGAACCACCTAAACGTTCACTCTTTCAAAGCGTTAACTCTGTGACGAGCTTCCGGTAAAAAAGAAACGATTCGAAAGAAATCAATGAACGGTGGCTCTACGAAATTCAGACGATTCAAGTAACGTTCACGATGTTAGAGCAAGTCGTCGGGCATGTAGCGACGTGGCTCATCAAAGCCAGGAGTGTCAATGGCTCGTGAAATTCCGCAGGAAGTCGGGGGAACTTCCTTATCGAGGCGAATGCCTCCAGCGAGACGTCCAGTCTGGGGGCTTTAATTGGCAAGAAGATCTCGAAGGGGGAGAAAAAAAAGCGCGGTGGAACGGGTATAAGAGGTAATTCTCTCGACGCCAAGCACGCTCGACCACTCGATGCGACAATGGACCGGGCTCGGAGCTTTTCCAGCGACCAGCTGCCTCTTCGATTGACCCAGTTCCGATGGAATTTTCAGTTTTCGCGTGCGCCCCCCTGCCTCCAGAACTGTCTATAACTTGCATTCCCTCTCGGTGGGATGTACGCAAGAAGAAGCAAGCAGTGATACACGTGTATATCGTTTCTTGGGACGGCGTACACTGGGACGAAATGGGTAAATCTCTGGACATCAAAGTTTCTTCAAAACGACTAATCATATCTTTATCAAATATTTTTTTAAATCGTGTGTCTTTGAACGAAGAATCCAACCA